AAATTTCAAAGTGAATGACAGTTCCAAAAATTGTGTAACATAGTGTACGTTTAGCGCCCCTTGTATACACTACAAGTTTATTTACAAGTCGTTGACTTCGAATTTTGCGTCCATCTCCGATATGACAGAACGAAATGGTGATATTCACTTTAAATGCCTTTCCCAAGCCCGCAATATCAGGCAGAGCTGAGCCCCGATCACCTTATACCGTGATCTCACGATTCCGATTCTGTTAGCTTAATTGCAAAATTACCGATGGCGCCATGACAAGATTGTAGGAAAGTACTTTTCAATGAATCAAAGACGGACCCAACCCTCCATACACACGTTTAACTTTTTAATCTCATTAAACGTTTAGGGATTAAAATCTTGGATTTCAAAAAATACTATTTCTTATGCGGCAGAGGGATTTACATCACATAATTATGAGGCAAAGCTGGAAAACCAAATTAAAAACAGGAGCATAAAGTCTGCTCCATAGTCCATGTGTTTGGCAGATCATTATTATTAAATCCTCGTCAATAAATAGCCATCCAACTTAGAAAAAGTAAATTTGACTACAATAAATGGAAACAATAATAACATGCGAAAGGTTCACATAGTCAGACAATAATATGACCGTCAGAATGCATTTAATTGATTAATGTCTCCGACAGAACGAACGCACGACTCGAAAATGAAGGAATCACTGTAAGTCATTGACAGTTTTTGAAAACATTACTGTGGTGATGCATTCGATAGAATAAGAATATAATGTAAACGTATACAAGATCATACTTATCAAATGGAAATCACTTTGAGCATTTTGGAATAAATAGAGGGCACCTCTTCCATGCAGATACTCGTCATTTGTCGAATGGTTTAGAGTGGTGAGTGAATGGTTTATGTGGGTAATTTAGTAAGATGATATTGGGGATATGAGGGGAGAAATAATCCTTATAGTAAGTGAATCATCATCATCATCATCATCATCATCATCATCATCATCATCATCATCATCATCATCA